CACCAATGATGAGGTTCTTATAGATAGTGTAAAAGATTAACACATGAATCATAAAGGGAATTACCCACAACAATGAGCGTTATTTAATTTAAAATATAATATGTCAACAAATATACATTATCTAAATATCTAAGTAAAAAAACATCCTCTAGGAAACATCTTTAATTTAAAGATACTTTTAATTTGCAGACGATAAGATTTTGCAGATGGCATTTGTCTTCGCTTCTAGACCTGCAACTATGAAGTTTCGGATTAAATAATATTATGAATATTTATTACTGTTCGAATGATACACCAAGAACCATTTCCAATACAATTTTTGTTACAAATAAAGTGTAGTAAAGTCACAAACACAATATCGGAAATTCGCAGTGATATAATCTTGACCGCAACTGTATATCTGTACTATCAGCGTTATGGTCTTTATAGGTTTGCTGGCTGCTTGCCGAGAGATCTATTAACATACATACATACATAGGTGAGAAATTGTTTTTAGATCAAGCAACAACAAACTTTTCGGGAGCGTGTGGGCGCCCAGAATTGGGTTAACGGTGTACCGCATAGAGTTTGATTTTATTGTCGGCCGAGCCCCAGGTAAAATCAATAAAATATGGTTTTCTTTCTGCAGGGCCCAGTGCAAAATTATTCCCTAATGAGCAAAACACACATTGTAGGCACAGGAAACTCGACAACACTTGCGGCATTTAAATTAGTGACATGGGTTGTATGACGAAAAGGGTGGGAAAGGGGGAGAGCTTTCAAAGTGGCGCAGGCCTAGGTGCATGTTGCAGCAACAGCAAGGCAAACGTGGCGCTTGATCCAAGAGCTGAAAGAAGCCACAAACATATGCAGACTTCTTTGCCATGTTTATGCGGAGCGAAAATATGTGATTAGCATAAGATAAGATAATTTTACCTCTTGTTACTATTGCAAGGCCAAATATTGATAAAATTAAACCAATTAAAACATTGAGTTCAAAATACTTTGGCTACCCTATTACTGACCTTATCGCTTAGCAGCTTACAGATTTCATTTAACTTATAGAAAGTGTTGTGGGCTTACTTTTCCTGTCTATTTAAAGTATTTTAATTTATGGAGAGATAGAAAAGTTCGATTTTAGTTTAACTGATTTAGGACAAGTCTGGTTAGTCGATTCAAACGAAACAAATGCGATATGAAGACGATACTTCCGCATCATTATGGACCAGAAATGTAATTAAGATCAAAATCTGGTAAAATCATATTATGTACTTTTAAGTATAAACAAAAACACTTGTTAGCGATCAAGTCTTTGATTTTCGCGACTTGCCACGCATAACCGCTGGCGGCGGGTCTCTCTGCCGCTGCGACGTTGTCTATTTTGGTTGCGGACGCCAGCCGAAAGCAGCAGGCGGAAATGTTATGCCTTTTATATTCCTCTTTTCAGTTCCCTTCTGGGTCCGCTTCCCCTCCCTGCTTCCCTTCCGCTTTTACCTGTGACCGTGCTAAGCAAATATGTTTTTCCACGATGGGCGGGGGCGGTGGGAGGTGTGCGAGACACTGGACATGTGCCGTTAGGACGCTAACTGTTAAATGCCAAATCGACTGCGAAATGTAGTTAGTTGTTAGTGCTTTATGTAAATGACTTGTCTTTTGTCACGTGTGTTGGTTTCGGGGGAGGGAAGGCGGGGATGCAGCTTGTTGACATTTGCCTGCTGTATTTTTATTTTTATGCTGGAAAATCGGGAGCAGCAATGTGTTAATCCCAAATAATGTGGCATGAACACCACTTGAAACGATTTTCTTTAATCCACACACACTCATACATATTTGAGTTGGAAAAATCAATGTGTGCAACCTCCTGAGCCTGTGTGCGTGTCTGTGTTGTTGGAAGCCAGACCAATTGGACTAACGGTGCACTCTCTTTTTATGAATGAAACTCCTCGCCCCGCTCTCCACCTGCCCTAATCCAGCTCCCCGCTCGTCCCGCGTCACCACCACTCTCCACTTGAACTCACTGCAGGTACATATGCCTTGGCTGCTTTTCTCTTGCACAGTCCACCCTGTACACCGCTTGCAGTCGAAGAAACGCTTGCGATTTACGGCCTCGATTGGACCCCACTTTTCCTTTTCTTTTCCCACTGGCTTCTTAGAGTTTTCCGAGCTCTAAACACTTTACCGCACTCTCGCACACACACGCTGTATTGTTTTCCCGTTTTCTCTGGTGTGTGTCATTAATGGCCGACGGATGGGAAGCGCAAGCAGCAGAAAAAGCAACCAACTTAATGGGGCATCAGAACTTTCTTGCTTTCTAGCTCCTTTAACAACGCGCGCAAATTTCGGGACCTTGCATCACCCACTATTTAGTTTACATTATTCACGGCTTTGTTAAATACGAAAAATAATTACAGAAAGACGGTCGCAGCAGACTCGGTAGTGATGGCAAAAAAATATACAGCTCTAAGAAATATTTTTATACTATTTATGTTTTTTCAAATATACCAGAAATATTCTAAACGGTCACGGCGAAATATCGGTGTTGCCATGGGCTAACGCCTTTTTTGACTCGATTAACACTAGCTAATACCCTTTTCACATGGATTACATCCGTTGGAATAAGTTGGAATTTTTGACTAATGTGAAACTCGGATTTCTATAGTGCACATCTACCACCCGATAACATCTTGGGGAAATTCGGCAATAATACAATAAATACCATAAGATATTATATTATATCTGATCTTTTATAAAATAACCATCCTTTCAACGGAATTTTAACGGAAAGGGGCTATAATGCCATATTTTCAGTCAAGTCGATAACGACTGTATATTTCTAAGTCCCAATGTTAAATTAGCATTAACTAAAACAAAGCAATAAGCAGCTAATAGCGTGTTCAGAAAGAGGGGGTTTCTGCTTCAGCGACCCTATTCTGCAACAACGATTTTTTTTGCGGTGAATGTCGTACAACTCAGCTTCAGCAAAAAGTGGTATTGTTTTCATATTTTTATACCCGTTACTCGTAGAGTAAAATGTTATGCCCGATCAAAGTTATATATCTCCGACTCCCTCGAACTGCCTTTAGATGAGTAACGGCTATCTGATAGTGTAGCGTTTTTTCTTTTGTTATTCAGTATTTTTTAAAAGATTAGGCGAAATGTGCAGACTTTGCGTTTCCGGATTTATTTGGGAAGGATAAGCGTTTGCACTGCCGCGTTACGTTTGCCGACACTTACGTCGTTTGCTTACGTTGACTTACCGCGGTCCCGAAATTGCGCATACGCCTAGTGTTTACCAATTGGGCTCTGTTGATATTCAAACATTTTAAGTTCTTTAATGAAACGCCACGGCTATCAGCTGAAATTGTAGTTGGTGCAGAACCAAGATCCTTCCAACGCCTCAGAAAAAAAAATAATATTGCTTTTATTATTTTTTGGTAATGACAAAGCTTCAGAGTATGTCCTTCTTGGCAAGACCTTGAAACTGTCGCATTTCAACTCGAAATTTCCCTAGAAAATAAGCCGTTTTAGGTCACATGCTGTAGAAGGCTGTAGTCAATAAATCGTATATGAGGAGGGTATTCTTAATACTTACAGTTGTATAGGAATCACTATGGACGGCAGTACATGTAGTGACGAAGCGCACCAGGAGAGTGTGCGAAGGCGACTACTATATATACACGAAAAAATGAAAATCTACTGTGATGGTCCGATCATAATGAATAATACACTTATCGAAAGGTATTGCGAAAACTAACAGGATTGCATACTTTAAGAAAATCAAGACTTTAAGAAAATCAATTGGCTTGGGAGATAGAGCGGTGAAAGTGAAAAAGTGAAAATTTCGAAATTTGGAGCTGTTGGGGCCGGTTTTAGTTGTATTCCTTTTGAAAATACCCGTCGAATGAGGGGTCATTTGTCAAAATCCGACTCTCCGTTCAAAAGTTATAGCCAAAATAAGATTTTCTTCTTCTTCCCAAAATGAAAAATTAATTCTGTTTGTCAGTTTGTCAGTTTGTCAGTTTGTCCAAAATATGTTTTTTAAGTTCTGAAAATTTGATATGACGTTCATCACATCGATATAAAAAACTTTTGTTCTACCACTTTTGGAAAAACCCGCTAGTTTAGCGGGAAAACAGCTATAAATAGCTAAAATTCGGAAAGCCGTAACTTCTATACTACTAAAGCTATAGACTTTCTAATCTTTTCTCATTCGTCACGCTGCAATAGAAAATGCCTGTAAAGGGAAAAAGGCTGGAATAGTTTGCTAGGGCGGGCCGAATGAGAAAAGATTAGAAAGTCTATTTAATGACGAGTGTAATAATTTTTCGTCACAAATGTTGATATCAGAACTTTTGCATGTTGAAGGTGCGGTCGTCACTAGTTTATTACCTCGTTAAGAGGTGTTTTTATTTGATTAATCCTGACAGAACATTTCTTCTATTTAATTTTCGTTATCATTTTTGAAGTGATATTATGGTTGTAGTTTGATTCCTTTTTATACCCTTGTAGAGGGTATTATAATTTCAGTCAGATGTTTGCAACGCAGTGAAGGAGACGTTTCCGACCACATAAAGTATATATATTCTTGATCAGCATCACTAGACGAGTCGATCTAGCCATGTCCGTCTGTCCGTCTGTCCGTCTGTCCGTCTGTCCGTCTGTCCGTCTGTCCGTTTCTATGCGAACTAGTCTCTCAGTTTTAAAGATATCGCGATGAAACTTTCCCGAAAGTCTTCTTTCTATTGCAGGTAGTACATATGTCGGAGTGAGCCGAATCGGACCACTATATCTTAAGGCTTCCATAGGAATATTCAAAGATATATAAGAAAATTCATTGTTACTTTGTAGGAAGTAGGCGTTTTAATTCTTGACTCTTTAAAAACAAAATTCAAAAATAGAAACGCTGAATCTGGAATCCCTGGAACTGCACCGAGTGAGCATTACTTTATCTGCAAGGGTATATAAGCTTCGGCTGGCCGAAGGTAGCTTCCTTTCTTGTTTTAATTAAAACACATCAGATGTTTGGTTATTTTCGTAGATACGTATGTATATTTGACTAACGTATGTATATAATTTAAAAAATTAAACTTTTACCTCGCTTATCAAAGTACAAAAAGAATCGGCTGATGTATTATGATCAGACCATTAGTCAGATTTTCCACCATCGACAGAGGAGAAAATTGAGCTTTAGTTTATAAAAAGATAGCAAAGCTAACTGTTGGAAATGTATCTTTCTTTTCCCTTCAACGAGTGAATATTGCCAATCGTAGGTGAGAGCATTCAAGCAGAAGGCACCTTTATAAAATACCGAAGCGGCGGAACTGAACAAAACTATGTTGTATTTACACTAATTGGCTTAGACCATCGGCTCACATGATGATCTGTGGCTCTGGGACACTAGCGGCAATGCTTTTGTGGGGCAGGACTTGGCCTCCATTAACGTAAAGCTCATCTTTGACGATCACATCCTCGCCCAGCACGGTGATGCCCTCGATGCGAACCCAACGACCCACAGTAGAACGCCAACCGACAATGCAGGAATCCAGCCAGGAGTGAGAGCGAACGATGGCGCCCTTTAGGATGGTCGAGCGCTTTATGCACACCCCGTCCTCAATAACCACGTCCGGACCGATAGTGACATTTGGTCCGATCCGACAACCCTCGCCAATTTTAGCCGTGGGATCCACCAACACGTTGCCGACCACTCCAGGTCCTGTGTACAGCTTAGGAGATTGCTTCTGTCGTAGCGAGCTCAGATAGAGGCACATTCCTGAAAAATAACAAAAAATGTGGAATCACTAAAAAGTGTATATTTAACAAAAACAAGAATGAACACTAAACTCGACTTAATAGTTAGCCCTTGGCTTTGGTACCCAAATTAAAGTATTAATAGTATTATAGCATTACAAAATGTAAATGGTTCATCCCTCATCTTCCAAGATCTCGACATTCATCACGCTTCTAAAATTAGAAAAAGTTTTTAATCCTAAATATTTTACAATTTTTTTTGATTTCCTTCCGCATGAACCCAATAGCAATTCTCTTCTCTATTTGTGTTTCTCCTATCGCCCACTATCAACCTAATGAGCTTCACTTCAGTTAAACAGAAATCGCTCTATCAAACATTCAGCTTTCCAGGAAACTCAAAATAGATAAAGCCAAAAGCCGAGTAGGCAAAAAAGGTAAAGCACAATTAACGACGACATCCAAGTTTGCTTTCAGAGCGATAAGACCAATTAGGCAATCAAGATTGAGGGGCAGAGTGATTGAGTCAGTCGTACCGGTTAGAAAGTCTTTGGGCTGTCCGATGTCCATCCAGAATCCAGTCAGATCCATGGCATACAACTCCTGCTGTTGGGCCATCGCCGGAAAAACCTCTTTCTCTATTGAGGTGGGCTTAACTTCGATGCGGTCGAGCACCGAGGGATTGAAGATGTAAATGCCAGCATTGATCTTGTTGCTCACAAACTCCTGCGGCTTCTCAATAAAGTTTTTGATGCAGCCGTTCTCATCGTACAGCACAACTCCGTATTTTGAGGGTTCTTCGACCTTTGTGACCACAATAGTGCCTTCTTTTCCATGGTTACGATGAAATTGCACTAGCTGCTTGAAGGGAAAGTCGCAGATGACGTCCGAATTTAGCACGAAAAATGGCTCTGAACTGGCTGCCAGAATGGTTTTCGCCAGAGCTAAGGGTCCTGCTGTTCCCAGGGGTTCGGTCTCATGGGAGAAGATCAGCTCCACGCCCAGTTTGTCAGCCTCCACTTTCAGCTCCTTTTCCATTTGCTCAGCTCTATAGCTGACGGCTAAAATTACCTGCAATGAAAGAGTATTTATTATAATATTTTGCTTTACATAATATCAAATCTAAATCTTACCTGGCGGCATCCCGCATCTACAAGCGCCTCCAGTTGGTGCAGCAGAATGGGCTTGTTGGCGAACTCCACCAGCGGCTTGGGCGTGCTGAGGGTCAGGGGCCGCAGCCGGGTGCCGTAGCCCCCGACCAGAATCAACGCCCTCGTCCCGTTTCCCACAGCCGGATTTCCACACATCTCCGCTCCGTTCCGTTCTTCTATCGCCCGCAATCAAGCGACACGTCAGACCTCAAAGTTCTCGAGACTTTCTCCGCGCACAGAAATTCCGATAAAGCCGACCAACTGCAATCGTCAAAGGTCTGTGAGTAACTCAGCTTGTCTTGTATTTAGTTTATAGTTTACTCACCTGTTTCGCTATCTTTTGTTGTGTTGTTGTTGTTTTTGGGCTCGTCGTTTTTCTGATAAGAAGTTTTGTGCCGCTGATTGGATGCGTGTTTTTATCTTGAAACTCGAATGGGAGTTTTCTGTTGCTGTGAGATTGTGTCGTCTATGCCTATAACTATTTATCTAACCACTAAACATATAACTGTGTCTTTGTCACTGTTATAATCATTTGTTCTTGAACAAAACGCGCCGCACAGAAAAGTAAATAAAAACCGAGCTGGCAAAGTAGTGTTGACACTATCGACCGTTGTCGATGTTTTCGTTTCGACACACTTCGAACCGTCTTAAATAGACTAGCTCCACTAGGCCTGAAATAGCGTCTGTTCAGACAGAGGGTGTTTTCTGCTTCAGCGACCCTCTTCTCGAAAAGACCATGCGTTAGAAATGGTTGGGATTTTTGACAAATATGAAACTCCGAACAGATCCAAATTCTGCTGACTTGCTGACTTGAAGAACAGTTGCTAGCCTTAACATAAACAAAGGAGGATTTCAACTCGGCAAAACTTTTATAACATACCCTACAACAAGATATTAGGACTAGTAAAACTGTTAGCCGGTGTGAGTACTGCCAACCGAAACGGCCAAACCTTAAGTTTTTAAATGGATGGAAGGTCCGTTAAACGGATTGTGGAAGGAAGGGGCTATCACTACGAAATCATCGAGTGGAGGCACTGTCGATAAAAACATTTCCAGTTATTAATATGGAAGTAACAAAAAAATAAAAATGTTTGGAGGCTCTTTTCTCCATTCTTTTCTCCAACTTTAGAACCACTTAAAAGTATTTGGGGAAAACAAACCGATAAATGTCAATATGCTAAAGCCTAGTACTCAGTTCGGCTAAGAGTTTTACTAGTCGAAAAATATTAATATTTTAGGGTGACCGAAGTTTTCGGAGTTCATCCGCAATGCATGTAGAATGGTCTTACTCTCAGCAAGCAAATTAACTGGCGCCAATTTTGAAATATTACAAAATGATTAGCCGACCTAGGTCGCAAGCTTTAAATTTGCTGTTGGAATGAGGATATATATTGCTGCAACTCCTACAGGCAGTTTTCCATTGGTTTTTGGGGTTTTCATTCTATTTATAATATGTTATTGGCACACCGCTTCTGCACAAACACAGCCAAAGATCAAATTTTTTTATTCTTTGGGCCGCGGCTAAAGGCGTTCATCAGAATTCATCCGCTAAATCTAGTATTTTAGTGGTATTTTCTTACTATTTCCTTAGCTCAACTGAGTACCGAGGTGGGAAAAAGTCCCCGGCTAAGGGCTTTAGCTACCTATTTGCCTCTCGCTTACTCCTATGCTTAGCTAGCAGTTTTCGTCGTACTGAGTACTAGGCTTAATTCAGGTCTGGTGAGGCTACGGCATTAGTAAGCGCTGACACTTAACAGGACTGTTATAGATGGCGCGTTAGTAGACTGCTGTTAAGCGGTACCTTTGGTATTTAAAAAAGTAAATTGTCTTAACAAGTATTTCTCTGGGCCAGACGGTATTATTGTTCGACGATTCCGCGGTCACACTGGTGCATTGTTGTTTCGTTTTCGTTTCGTCGCGTGAAAACTGCTGAGTGTATAAAAACTGTGCAAATTGAAAGAAAACTCCTGCAATTAGTTGGAAGGTAAGTGCAACTGAAGTGAACGCAGTCGGAAATAAAGGGCATTGCATGCAGCGAGCCTAGGGCGTTGATAATTGTGATTTGACCACGGATTTTTTTTGGGGCTCCGAGTTCAGACGAGATACACATACACGCACACACACGCTTACGTCTCAAATAGGCACCAGCGAGACGGAAAACAAAATGTCGACCATTTGCATTTTCGTGTATTACTTTTTCTGAGCAATTTTTAAAAGGTTTGTGTTTATCTAAGCCTCGCTAAAGCATGGTTAAATAGTGCGTTACCCCTAAGAAGTTTCCTATTGCGGGGCAATTGGGTTCGAGTGACACTTTGTGTGGGCAATCTGGCGATATTGATTTTTACAATGGCTGCCGAGGAGTCACATCCATTTTCCTGGAAATGTGCAAGGAAAAGCTTATATCCACAGTGTGCAGAAGTGTTTTAAATTAATATTCGAGGGTTTTGTCTATTCAAAGAAAAGAACCATGCGTATGTATTTTTATAAAAACTTCTCTGTGTAGGGTATCCAATCATGTGTGTATGTATGTGAGTGCTTTATTCTTTTCAATTTGGTATTTTCTTTTATTTGTACCCCAGGGGGAGGGGCGAGGGAAGAGTGCATCTTGTTAAGTTTTACTTTCTCTTTTATTTATGCTGCCAACTTCATCGGGTGGTGCTCCATCTACATCAGTGCTTATGTGTGTGTGCGTGTCGGTGTAAGAGAGATAGCAAAGCAATCACGTTTCCTATTCTCAGCATTTTTATTTTCTGTTTAATTTGTGGCCTCTTGTCAGCGTTTTAATGTGCTTTCCTCACCCTTGCGTTTGTTTTTATTTTAAATTTAAATATGTTCACGTTGCATTGACATGAAGGTTTCTGCAATCAACGCCACAAAAAACTTCACGAACATCTTGTCTTGAAAGTACACTTCTGGATGGCTTTTATTTCTTTCGCTAATTTGTGAAATAAGCTATGATGATGTGACGTCATAGGTCAATTCAAGAGGAAAAAAATCAGCTGTTGCCAAGTGGGCAGCACTGTCATGCCAGCCAGAGTTGCCCTTTTTGTGTATTTCTACCCGAAATGCGGGTTTAGTTTAGTAAATTGAAATTGAATCTAAACGTCATAGCTCAACTTTTCAAAATTGCTTATAATTGGTCGCAGTTTTAAAAAAATATTATATTTTAAGTTTTATTTGTAACAAATAGTAAATTTAATTTTAATAACAGCTAAGTGTGTATAATTAATGTGTATAAGGATGGCAGAGACCGAAGTGCTAAATACAAAAAATAAACTTGATTCTTCTTCCGAATTTCGTACTATCTCGAATATCCACTAATCACGAACTTCCACGTATACACACGTTTTCATTATCAATTGCATTTGAGCGCCTGATAACGCCCAGCTAACCTTGAAGGTTGATTGAACTGCAAAAAGGGAATATTTTGACCCCCTAGACAGCCATATAATTTGATTTCCGCCGGAGCCCCCGCTGCAACCCCCGTCCCTGGAATCATCTCCCCTGCACTTGAGCATACAAATCCTGTCTGCCTTTTGATGACTTTGTGTGCAAGGAGAACCAGGCAGTTTTTGTATCTGGCTGCGTGCTTCATTTCGTCGGGCTTCGGTTCGTTTCTCCTGCTCTTTGCTCACCGTTTCGCCCCACCAACAAAAATAAAAATAAATAAATAAAAAGAAGAGCCAAAACACAACTCGGAACTCGCTCTGCGCTTTGTTTGCCTGGCTCTTCTCTTTACCCTCCCGCCTACCTGCCTCCCTCTCTTTCTTTCGCTCAGTGTATGTGCGATTGATGAGCTAGTGTGCTGTTTGTGTAAGTTCGCTTGCGTCCGTGTGTGTGTGCGCCTTTGTACATTGAACTCAAATTCGAACTCGAGAAGAGAAGAAAAGTGTGATAGCAAGTAGAGAACGAGTCGGGGGACCCCCGGCCCACTTCCTCCCCCTTTAACCAGGGCCCCACACACCTCATTAACCCCTCGCAAAGGGTCTGAAGTTTCGCTGTTGCGTCCATCCCATAACCCTTCCATCAGGTTGGTCTGTGTCCGATGACCAAAAGCGACGTCCACCTCATTTTTAAAGTAATTAACCAGTTTTAAAGTTATTATTAAAACTAAATACCTACCCTTATCAGTTGGTTATAATGATGGTACTAACCTTTGGAATTTCTCTTTTCTTAAAAAGACATAATTTGATTTACTTTTTGATTCGTCTTGGTAATATAGCTAAAGGCTAAGCCTTGTAGATTTTGCTGTGTTATTAGTTTTTGGCAGCCGTGTTTGACTCTGTTTTCGTTTTGTTTTCTTTTTCCGTTTTATTTCGTATTGGTCCTGCCCTGGTCTCATCCAGTCCTTTGCTGGGAAGATGAAGTTCCGCGCACTGATGCAGGATCCGCTGTACATGCGAGAGTTCCAGGCCATTGTGGCCACATTGGCCAAACTGGCAAAGGATGTCGTAATGATCCTGGGCTCTCGACAGATGCACTTCATCGTGAACGAGGACCAGAGCTCCGCTGCATCGCCCTTGGTTTGGGCAAGCATTGCAGCCGATGAGTATTTTCCGGAGTATCGCATGGAGGCTGCCCGCCCGGATCAGGAATACATAGTTCTGAGCATGTCTTCGGCTAACCTCGGAAGAGCTTTTTCTGTGCTCCGAGGCGGTGGCGTTAATAGCTGCAAATTGAAGTTGCAAAGGATTCAGTTTCCCTGCATTTCGGTAATAGCCTCGGTGCTCTTATCCTCATCTACAGAAGCTCGCGAAGTGGTACACGATGTTCCGGTGACCATAATCCCGGCGAGCGATTGGAGTGCCTTTGTCGTACCAAGGGTTCCTAACTCGCAATTGGCCTTGAGTTTGCCAACTTTAAGATTGCTCCGAAGTCTTATCGATAAACTTAAAAATGTATCCCCTAGCCTCGAGTTTCAGGCCAACTTTGATGGGGAGCTCAATGTTATAGCCACCTCTGAAATGTCCACCGTGACCAGTCGATTCCAAAAACTACTGACACGATCTATGACAGGATCTCAGCAGGAGGCCTCTTGCTCGGTGGATTCCAGAAAAGCATCCGCTTTCTTTGGTGCACTGCAACTCCCCAACGACGAGCTGACCATTGGGATCGATCGGGATCATTCCATTCATCTGCAAATAGATGTGCGACAAGAAGTCGTCCTGCATTCCATTTTGCCCGCCGTTTGCATGTAGTTTAAAACGGTTTTGCCTTTTGTTAGTTGACAGTCGGCGCCGAAATAAATGTATTCTTAATGTGTTAGCAAGAAGAAATATGTTGTTTGCTACTTTATTCTTATCGAGACGAAATGTTCCTGATGCTTAATGGGAAGCTTTCGATTATACCAAGGTATTGCTATCTACTTTAGGTCCGTTTTCTCGTTCGTCTGCTAAATTAAATGGAACCTTTAAACAACGATTTCCCCATACGATTTCAATGTTTTAACCCTACTTTAAATTTAACAAACGGACGAGAAATCGGCCCTTCGTGGTCATTAGCAAACTTTTATAATTTTCTATGATTTTCTGCGTGTGATTTATTTTTATTTTTTAAAATGGTGACTACGATTTTTTGTTAAGGTAAAGAACAATTTGCAATGTTACGGCTATTTAATGTCCTACTTAAGATAATATAAAGACTTAATTAGTATATTGGGGCTACTTACAATAAACATAATCAAAAATATACAGTACAGAAGGAGTACTCAACTTCTGTTACTGAAAAAATTAAACTGTTTAAAGATATGTACATTGTACATATACTCCTTGTTTTTATTTTGTTTATTGTTAGTAAACAGAATATCCTACAGTTTTGGATGGCACAGTGCTGACATAAGAGTCTGTAGCCTTTTCCTACCAGATTTACCACGCCGTGCTAAAAATAATGAATATGGCTAAAAACCTAAACAATTTCTTGGCCTTCTATCTTCATATGTAGATTTTTTAGAGCAGGATAACTTACATTTTATTGATGTGGAAATTACATAAAAACAATCAAATCTTATAACGTAGAGATTTTTTTTGTAGAGAATTTTCTTATGTGTTGATGTGAATCGGTCTTGCAAATTTGCTTTAACCATATCTGACCTGACTCTGACGTTATCGGTTAACGAAAGTTGGGGCGGCTCTTCATTTTTTTGTCGTTCCCCGCTCACTGTCCCAAATTCGTTAGCAACCGTGGCCTCATTTTGCATTCTCTCAGAGTCTCCTTCACTCACTCAGCTGCATTGGCACTGCACTTGCATAAGCGTGTGTGTGAGACCGAGAGAGCGAGTTGCATCCATGCATATTTATTATTTGCTGTTACTGGTTTTCAATTTTTGTTATGTGCATGAACATGCACTCAAAAGCAACTGGCTTGACTGACTGAGAATACTTGGTAGGTATTTCGATTCCGACTAGTATGTATATAGATACATATTTATCCATATGTTAGATGCCTGGTGATACAAAAAGGATTTCCATAAAATATACACACATATGACATACATATATCATCCTTTTCATATAACTCCATGGTTAAGGGCTAGTACTAAACCTAACAGAAACTATCCAAGAAAAAATACTAATTTCAGTAAATTATTTCTTGAGGGTCCAGTTAATTAATTTGGTAATATCGGTGCGTTATTTTTCGGTCACACTGGCCCAAAAACATAAATAAACCTAAAATTTAATTTCTTATCTCGTATTTTACAAGCGAAATCAACTATGCTGTAATATAACCCATTGTTACAGCACTCGATAGTCATTAAAAATAGTCTTTACTTTTGAGAGTGTATTTCAGCTAATTTTGTTTAAGGATTTCACTAAGTTGTTATCTGAATTTCTTGAGCGGTATTATAGAATTTTTTATTGTAAGGCATGAGTTCAACCAAAATTTTGCCACCAAAAATTTTGGTACGTTTTTTTATATGAAGTTTTTGGTTTTGAATGACTTTTTGTTCGGTTGAATACCAGCCCTAAGCGAAAAGTATGTCCGTTCCTATGCGAACTACTCTCTCAGTTTTAATGCTATCGTGATGAAGGTTTGCCAAAAGTGTTCTTACTATTGCAGGTGGTACATACATATGTCGGAACAATCCGAATCGGACCACTATATGCATTGCTACATGGTACATGCATTGCTGGTGAACTCTAAAAACTTCGGTCACACTACAAAGAATAATATTTATCGACTAGTGAAACTCTTAAGCCTAGTACTCAGTACGACGAAAACTGCTATCTAAGCATAGGAGTAAGCGAGAGGCAAATAGGTAGCTAACGCCTTTAGCCGGAGACTTTTTCCCACCTCGGTACTCAGTTGAGCTAAGGAAATAGTAAAAAATACCAAAAAATACTAGATTTAGCTGATGAATTCCGATGAACGCCTTTAGCCGAGGCCCAAGGAATAAGAAATTTAATCTTTGGCTGTGTTTGTGCAGAAGCGGTGTGCCAATAACATATTATAAGTGGAATGACAACCCCAAAAACCAATGGAAAACTGCCTGTAGCAATACATATCCTCATGCCAACAGCAAATTTAAAGCTTGCGACCCAGGTCGGCTCAACATTTTGTAATATTTCAAAATTGGCGCCAGTTGATTTGTTTGCTGTTTGTGTACCCAGCTGATTTACAATAAGACCATGCTACATGCAAAGCGGGTGAACTTCGGTCACACTACAAAAGAATAATATTTTTCGACTAGTGAAACTCTTAGCCGAAAACCCCCAATGTGTGAACAGGCTATTATCTCCCAGTTTTCGTCCGTTAAAATGTGCCCAACCGTCAAAAGAAACAAGTTAAATTAAAGACATATGTTTTAAGGACTTACTAATTTCTACAATTTCTTCATAAGTTTCTATTTTACCTATTGTCGACGGCAATGTACAGAGGCACAAAACTAAGGGAAGGAACCCCGTGTTTAATTTTGTTTTTGGGTTTTCCCTCTTCGCTGCGTTTTTCTTTACATATATGAGTATACATACATACACACATACCCACGTTGGTTTGAGGAGGTCAGCTGAGTGCATTTAATGCTGCGAGCGACCCTATTGGAATTGTCGTAATTGTAACTCTCTCACGCATTTCCTCCCCACTCACACGCGGACGATCAGCTGATCGAGGGGGGGAGAAGAAAACGGTAACACAGGTATAAGGAAAAAGGGAGAGAACCGAATGAGTGCAAGAGGGAACCCCGTAAAGGAAAAGCAGAGAGTCTAGCTCACTTGCACCCTCAATCGAACATGGCCACTCGTCCATTTTGAGTGGAAACAAATCAGGAATTTCAACTTATTTATATATTTTGTGTTTTAAATCAATTAGGCTAGCACAATGACACACATGCAAGGTGTTAGGCTAAAACCAAAGTCCGTGAGCGAGAGAAAGAGAGAGCGGTTTGTTGACCTCATTTCCGAGGGTTGAGTGACCTGTTTTCGCGGGGATTGAGTGATTTTAGTTCCCTGAATGTCCAGGTGACTTCAGTTGAATTTGGGTATGTACTATAACTGCAGTGTGGCTTGTGTTTCATTGAATCGTCTTCTAAGCAATAAACAATCATTTCGCTTTGAGTGGCAATGGCGCTCTGGCTCTCACGCTCAAGCAGCGCTCTCTCACTCACTCGCTCTCTGTCGCCATTTTCCGCCGAGCGCTGGTGTTTCTGCCGTTTCTGCTTCTGTATCATTCGTGAGTTGGATTTGAGTGCGTGCACAGCTGAAAAGTAGAATGCAAACGGCTGTATTTTCTATATACCCGATGCCTCTGATACATAGTGTGTAGAATCCGAAAAGGTGCTGCTGTTTATATAATTTCGAATATTATCACGCTGCGTTGGACTGAAATTGAAATTAATCGGATTTCTCGGTGGACCAGGGCATGCAAATCGCTCAAATTGTGTATGCATTAAGTTTTGCTCATCGCTTTGATTTCGTTATATTGTTGTACATACTGAGACTTATTTGTTCTCCTCCTCCTTCTCTTCCTTCTTCTGAAAGCCTTTGTGTGTGTGAGTGTGTACGTCGTCATGCGCTTGCCCTCGTTCGCTCTCTTTCGCGCACATGCAGCGCCGTGTGCTCCCTTTTGCGTTTCTTTCCTTTTGTCATTTTCCCCAATCGACATTTCATTTTCAGTCGATAGGAATACTGCACATTAATCACGAAATCAGGCGAATTAAATAAACAATATAGTTTAGTCTTTCGCTACTTTTTTATTTCCGTTTTTCACCGTCGAAAGTGCAGCAAAAAGTGGTGTGTATAACTGTATATAACAGCCGTTGCACATGTGTCTGTATGCGTATATGCTGTGTGTACATAACGCGTTGTGTAAAAGCGTGATATTATGTGGTGTAATTTACTGGAGCTGAAGTTTTCCCCCTGTGGCAGAAAACTTATTCTAATGCTGTTGGCTGACCTTGCCTGTAAAAACTCAAGAATTTCCCAAGTGGCTTAAAAACCTTCAGAGTTTAATTGTTGCATTTACACTGCCTCCCAACACCCACTCACTACTTGATAGGGTTGCCAGGTGACGTTGCTATTGCGTTCTTACATCCGTTTATTCAACTACGTAATTCCCCCTTGGAGGACTGTTTCACGATTCGATTCGGAAAGAAAACAGTTTACCTACCAGGGCAACTAAGGGAAAAATACTGCAAAGATTTTTTTTATTTCTTAGGCTTGAGAAGTATTTAAAAAACAATTTATTTTTGCAATGAGAAATTAAATAAAAAATTGTTACAAAAAAAATAATTTGGCTTACATTTTAAAGCAAGAGCTTTTGTCAATAATGTCAAAAACAATTTGGGAATTATGACCCATGTTTGTCGCAGTGGACACGTGAATTGCAGGCCGACTCCCTCGCACACTCAGCTGTGCGTAGGCAGGTTTCGTAACACGTTAAAAAGAGAAAAATAAAATGACGACCTGATGCGAACGGAAAATGGGAAATATAGAAAACTTGCTAGGGCAGCAGTATTGAGACCAGCTTCAATATGCGCTCTACTGCTTTTTTACAACGATATTCAAATTAGTTACAAACAATGCCAACAGAACAGCACGCACAATGCATAACGAGCAGGGAAAATCGGGAAGGAGGGGAATGGGGGAGGTAGGGCAAAACTCACCCAGCCACATGAACCCACAAATTGTTATCAATTATGCTCTGGCCAGGGTTGTCATACATTCGTGTAACATATGGGTCTATCGGGGTTGGTGTCAGCTGAGGAAATTGGGTTCTACTGCAGTCAAACTTATCTTTCGCTTACCACCATTCATTGCCGTATGAATACTACATTTTTTTTTTC